CACTGTGAAAACATGAAATCACTGTGTAGTGATAAACGCTGACATGAAATGATTAAAATTGGTCTGGGAGGTTGATAACATATTTAAAATAGTTTCCATATTTTGAAAATTATGTAAAGGTGTAGAAAGTTGATAGGTGGTTAAGTTGATTTTGAAATTTAAATTTACTGTTGTAAAATCATAGATTGGTATTAGTTTATTGAACCTGAACGGCACATTGTGCAACATATGGGCTAAGCAGTCAGGTCAGAAACCCGCAAAGTTCAGGCATAGTCATACCTAATTTAGAACTGTTGACCAGAGAGTGGCCAATATAAAATAGTGAAGGTTGATCTGAAATATTGAAAGCTGGTCTAAAAAGTTCAGAGATGGTGAGAAAGGCTATAATTTACTTTGTAAGAGTAAGAAATAATGGTAAGTGGTGTGAGAGGTAGGAAACTGGTATGAAAGAGTGGGAATCGATCTGTTATATTGAAATATAATGAGAAAATGGAGCAATTGATCTGAGAAGATGAACGCTTTTGCAAAGTGTAGGTGTTGATCTGTGAGGTTAAGATCTGATGTAAAGTGTGGTGTTTAGTTTGTTTGTAATTAAGCAAAAAGCTACACAATGGGCTATTTGTGTTCTGCCCACCACGGGTATCGAAACCCGGTTTCTAGCGTTGTAAGTCTGCAGACATAGTGGTGTTTATAAAGATCAGAATGTAATGTAGTGGAATAATAACTGATGTGAAAGTCGGTGTAAAGTGTAGATGTTGATCTGTGACGTTGAGATCTGGTGTAAAGTGTGGTGTTTAGTAATATTAGAAGCTAATAGTAGTAGAACATTTCTCAACATGCACGACAATAAACAATTAAATATAAGATATTGGTTAGACTTGGATAAGTTGAATTACATGAATTATACGTTATAACATTTAGTTTTGAAAGGCTTTCTTATAACCATGTTCAGTTTTTAGTTGAATACTTAATTTCTTTTATTTACACCAAGAGCGCCTCCAGTGGCTCAGCAGTAAACTTTAAGACTAATAATGCTATAATTCGGGGAATTATCCCCCAAACGGGCATAGCGCGATAACCCATTGGGTAACTCACACAAAGAACTGCTTTAAGTTAACAATGTTGAAACTCTGATGTAACAAACGGAACTTTTATTAGAATTTTATCTTCACTGTTATTACAACACAATAAAGAAATTTGTTTACATAAAAAAAGCGAAGTGGAAAGGAGCGGCAATCATATTGTGTTCAGAAAACAGGTCAGAGTTTGGGACGGGTATTTCACTCTACACTTGTAAAAACATTGTCTTCTTTAGTGCTTAAAAAATGGTGTAAATTATGTATTTTCTTATTGCTCTCATCTAAAAAACTTTTAATAGCTCGTGAAAGAAACGTTGAAAGCGAGAAAAACACATAAAAACTAACATATTTCTATTTTGTATTTGTAGCTCAGAAGTTGTCATAGGCGTGAGTAATCAGCGTTCTTGTTTAGATAGCTGAATGATACATCATAACCAATAAGCAATTTTGATCTTCTGGCGACAGAGTAATGAAAAAGCAAATCACAGCTAACTTTGTTGGTAAGGCTGGAGTGACCAAAATATACTGGGCTATACTGTGCGAAATGATGGTTGGAGATTTCATTTTTTTTTAAAACCATACTTGGCAGTAGATTAGTTGTGAGTAAATAAATCACATTTGCTCGGAAAGAACGAACATGCTCCGTGACTTGAAAACATGAACGTGCTATAGCGTTTCAAATTAGGAAAGAAATACATTTATTTCTTCACGAGTTGTAAGTAAAACACGATACTTTTCTTTGAGAACTTAACTGTAGAAAGGTTATAATAATTGAATATAACTGCTTTTAGTTTTCCTAACAAATTTTTAAATTAGACTTACTTTAAATGGTTTGTAATGTAGAGATTACGTAAGGATTACTGTTACTGTAGATGATTCGCAAGATGTGTCGCATAATTTAAATTCATATGTATATTTGTTTACACTAACATTCCGAAATATGTCATTTTTCTCTTTGATATACAGTTTTCACATTCTTGTTTATGTATCTATATTGTCTCTAACCTGTTTTTTGACAAATTACGGTTAACGTGATAATATTAATATTAAATGAAGAAATGTCAATGTAGACATAGAAATGTTAAGGGTATTATTTCATCAAACTAAAGATGGCGTTTTTGGTGAGGTAATACAATAATCGGCATTTTGGGTTTAGATATTTTGACTAAATTTCTAACTCTATGCTATTTCTCATAAAACAAGACTTTCAAAAAACCCTTTTCCCGATTAAATATAAATGTGTTTTCATAGTCTTTTACTGAAAACTAAAGTTACGAATAGATAACGAGCCTGTTAAAAATCAGAATAAAATAAAATATGGACGCTCTGTGTGTAAAGTCCAATTTAAATTCAAGGTCCTTGAGACCCAATCATAACCAGCCCATGAGAGACCAATCAATGAAGTCAAACTGAAGTTTGAAATGCTTGATGTGCTGTAAAAACTATGCTATACAGGTGCTCTGTTTGACAGAGGAAATCTATGATTGAAATTAACATTTTGAAAGAGCATAGTGGCGCAGTGTTGCTGCTTTAAACGACTTTCAACAACCAAGTTGGGTGAGAAAATAAATCGATATCGTTTATCTTTGAAAAGTTCTATTTCGCTGCTTCGTAAGCTCATTTTTAATGGAAAGTGAAAGGCATATCTATACTTGTTCTTAAGTATTTGTTGCATTTATATGCGATAAAAATATGAATTTTGGTACGAAGAGTATGCAAAAAAAAAAACAGTTCTTTAAAAAACAAATTCACGTAAAATCATTCACATGAGTTTTATTTATTTTCCAATATACATTTAGCACTTTTATATAAACCCGAAAAGAAGCGCTTTAGCTTTGTATGTTTGCAAAGATTCCACAGAATATTTAAAATTGGAATACACCAAGAGTAGTCATTCTCGAAGCAAAACTATGTTTTTTGTTTTTTTAGAGTCTTGAAGATGTGATTTGTAGAGGCGTCTTTACAGCAAAGACAGTGGCACAGCGGTATGTCTGCGGACTTGCAACGCTAAAATCCGGGTTTCGATACCCGTGGTGGGCAGAGCACAGAAAGCCCATCGTGTAACTTTGTGCTTAATTACAAACAAACAATACAGCTCTTGTGAAATATTTAGCGCGTTAAAACCCACTTAGAACTTCGTAGGGAAAGTTACCAGTTTGCTTGAAAACGACTGATTTTAATTTAAATCAGTATTAACCTCAAAACGTTTTAGTAGAGGTAAAAACGGTTTTTAATAGAAAATACTTACTGGAAACAACAAGTTATGCATTTGTCATTAGAGCTATTGCATGTAATAATTATCAGGTTGCCGCAATTCCTTGTTTTGAGCGGTAAAGAGCATAAAAGCAGTTTCATGAAAACTGATATTTCTGTATCTTATAGTCATTCATCAGAAACAAAAAACTCACAACTATTGTTTACTTTGTTTTAAAATTTGTGATATTCATTACAAAATTATCTAAAGAATTAAATTATCTGAATCTAGAAGCTCATATATTACTATAAATTCATTATATTTTATACATTTCACACAATTTTATCTCCCATTGGATGTAAGTTTTCGAAATATAAACAGAAGTCTAGTGTCCTAGTTAACATTTTTTGATCATGTAGCTAACTTACGCACGTGGTATAAGCCTAACATGAGAATTTTTGACTTGGTCCCCTTGTATTAGAACTTTGATACACATTTTTGTTCAGATTACTTCAGAAAGTTGAATATGTTTAAAATAAGCGCTCTAGATTGGTCGTAGCCCAGTGGTTAGCACACTCTGGATGTGAATCTGAGGGAACCTGGTTGCCGCAAAAATGCACTCCGTACTTTGAAGTCATGAGTGCACTATAAGAGTGACGGTGAAATCCTACTATTTGGTCAGACAAGAGTAGCCCACAAGATGGCGGTGGGTGCTGTTAACTATAGCTGTCTTCCCTTTATCAACTCAAAGTTATGGACGACTATGGACCAATTGTCCATTTTTGTAGCTTAACGCGAAAATTCTGAAACAAACAAACAAACATGCTCTCTCTCTTATTTGTTACATTTTTTAACTGCTGCGTAGTTCAGTAATCCGGGTCGTATTGCGCAAGTTTCTGCCAGCTTCCTAGATTGTATGTAAACCTTTCTCTGTGGCTTTCTTACATAAAGACGATGCATCGTAAACGAACCACAGTTTACATTAAGATCGACCACGATTTCATTCTAAAGCTTTTCTAGAGTAAACAAGAAAGATCAGCGTAACTTTTAGTTAGTCATGAGTTGTATGACGTGGTTAAACAGTTTACAGTAAAAATGTCAGATTAAGTAATTGAAGCGAACTGACACGTCTCAACACACAGTCTTAACATAAGGTTATTCATTCGAAGTATCTGTACTTAATTTCCGTAAATATAATACTAAACAACGTTAAATTGATGCTAACAAAAGTTGTCTCGATTTTCGTAAAACGTTTGATACTAACTCAATCTTTTAATTTGTATTATTAGCTCGACTAAACATAGTACATCAACTTGCAAAATTATAAAATGTTCTAGTTCTAAATATACACAATAATATACGTGCTTCGTGCTTTTAATTAGTGTTATTGGGTTTCTAAACTAGAATACAGAAATAAACGAATTGTTATTTTTTCTGTTGCTAATCAACTTATACAGATTACCACACACGTATAATTAATAAAAACACTTTTGTTAATGAAATATTTTTATATGTACTTTTTCGTGTTAAATAATTTAAATATAACTTTTAGCTATTTAAGAGAAATACCATGAGAGGGTGCTATTCAATTTAATCAAAGGTATTTTAATTTTAAAAATTTTACTTTAATTCTAAGCAAATATGAGAGTGTTTTCTTGTTTAACATTCTTACTTTAAAATGAAATAATAATAAAAAAAACTGGATAACAGAAATCTAAGTTATTCACCGCTTTTGTTCCCAGGACTTTTAGTGCTGTCCAATTGAGCTTGAATTATGCTCAGACTCGGAGTGATAATGGCCGGTAAGGTTTTGGCCCGAAGTAGTGGAGGTCTCTTCTTAGGCAAAACTTTCTCAGTCACGTGACTACAAAAAGAGAAAAGAAGTATAAATTCAGACAACTTTCTAAACAATTTTAGAGGACAACTATACGAAGATTAACATGCAAGACAGAAAGAAAATCGAACACATTCTTCAGTGAGACGTGTATTATAACTATTAGATATCTAATGAAAAATTTGTGCGTTACCAGAAAAGCCAATAACTGGATGTCGGCGCTTTTCCCCGCCCTCTTTTATCCGCTCTTTACAGAACGTTTAAACTAGTAAATGTTGATTTAACCAGATAAGTAATTATAAAACTATCTAACAGGGAACATATTACTCCACAAAAGCAAAAATATGTGTATTAAGTGTTTTTCTTAATATAGAGCTACATCTCTTTTAACGTACTTCAGAACATTGTCAATAAATAGAAGTGTTTTCTTAATAAAGAGCTACATCTTTTTTAACGTACTTCAGAACATTGTCAATAAAGAGAAGTGTTTTTTTTAATAAAGAGCTACATCTGTCTTGACGTACTTCAGAACATTGTCAATAAAGAGAAGTGTTTTTCTTAATAAAGAGCTACATCTGTCTTGACGTACTTCAGAACATTGTCAATAAAGAGAAGTGTTTTTCTTAATAAAGAGCTACATCTCTTTTTAACGCACTTCAGAACATTGTTAATAAAGAGAAGTGTTTTTCTTAATAAAGAGCTACATCTCTTTTAACGTACTTCAGAACATTGTTTAGAAATGAGCAAAATTTGTATTATGATTAGAACAATAGTTATTCACAAATTTTAATCTAAAAGATTTAAACTATTTTATTTTTTATCCTTGTTAACTAGTAGTACTGACCTAGAGTTTGTAAACATTATGTACTTTATCGTGTGTCAGACATCAACTGGCCGTTAGGAGAGCCTTTCCAAACTCTGACAATCGATTTAGAAATCGCAGATATAAAATATCGAGAGGTATATGTACTGGTATCAACTACTACTACAACGCTTTTAAGTGTGGCAGATACGTTGTATTTTTCTTATTTACTATAGTGTCACAAACACTGTTGGCCGAATAACCTAAGTGATTTTTCATTCAGTTAGGAAACAGTCAAGTAAGAAAGAAAATCAAATGTTGTTTTTCGAAACAATTCTGCGGATCTCTGTTAAGAATCTATACAGAATGTTAAGACTGATTTTCTATATTATATTTTCCCACGGTTTTGCCTTATTAGGTTTTAACAATATGCTTATATTTCACCAATCTATCAGATACAAACAGCCCCCCAGTGTCATAGCGGCATGTCTATGGACTTACAACGCTAGGATTCGGATTTCGATACACTGGTGGGCAGAGCACAGATAGTCTATTGTGTAGCTTTGTGCTTAACTACAAACAAATCAAATACAAACAAAAGATTAAGTTCTGATGTTCATGTTTATTATAGTTGGTGAGTGTGGATTACAAATGCTATATATTTGTCTCTCCTTGCATAATAGTTTAAAATGGCCAAACTAGCTATATAAAATGCATCTTTCAATGTAGAATTGAACTCAGCTGTGACGCCAGATAAACATGAGGCCTTCTTTGTGTTTTATACCGTGTGTCAACGATGACGAATCAACCACTTTTGTATAAAGTTGTTACCACGTTGATGTCAAAATATCATTTCCTTATGTTTTTCTTAACATAACTTTAATTAGTCTTCATACAAGTAATAAACATTTACAGAGATGTAAGATTCAGTATTAAGGCTTGGTTTAGGATAGTTTGTTTTAGCGTAAACCTATATAACGGGCTATATGCGCTGTGTCCACAGCGGGAATCTAATCCTAAATGTTAACGTTATAAGCCTTTAAGCTTACGTTAGACCAACGTACCCAGTTACCTACCAAACGATTTTGTTACACCAGCTACGTATGCCTTTTCACTAAGATTTGAACCTTCGGCAAAATCATTTAAAGTTAAGGTTTTAAGAAAATAGAATCGGAGAATTGACAATGTTCTTGGTTATCGTTCACTGAGTTTTATAAAATAATAATTGAACCATCTTTCAGAACGACGACCTGTGATGAAAAAACTGTACTAGTGTGATTTTGTTGTATCCTCCTATAGTGGTCGCCTATATACAAGGTATTGATCCCACACTCAGTTCGATCGATTTATTTTCGATAGGATTGCAAGTCTGGCATCAGTTTTCAAACTATCATGCTGGAGGACTGGTAAGTGAACTGTAGAAAACCCGTAAATATAAGTCTATATAAACAGTCTAGAGAAAGTTCTCAAAGTAAACATACAGTAACGAAAAACAAAACATGATACTTGGTGTATACCCACAGTAACGTAAAACAAGACATTTTGCTTAGCGAATACATACAGCAATGAAAACAAAACGTTGTACTTGGCGTATACATACAGCAATGAAAACAAAACGTTGTACTTGGCGTATACATACAGCAATGAAAACAAAACGTTGTACTTGGCATATACATACAGTAACGAAAACAAAACGTTGTACTTGACGTATATATACAGTAACGAAAAACAAAACATGTTGCTAAGCGTATACATACAGAAACGAAAAACAAAACATGTTACTAAGCGTATACATACAGTAACGAAAAACAAAACATATTAATTAGCGTATACATACAGTAACGAAAAACAAACAAAAACTATTTAAATACACGATAACGAATAATTCTAAGCTACTTAGAGTAAACATGAAATATCGCTATACTTTTGTTAAAATTATTTGTACAAAAATTCTGAAGTTTTATGTAAACACGAAATGCAAGGAATAGTCAAACGTAAGTTATTTTTTTATTTTTACTTATTTAACTTGTGGTTGGTTGGGAAGCGCTGTTGGACATCAAGAGAATAAAATATTGGTATTAAGATAACCTAAACTGTCTCTTAAAATGTTGTTAGTTTTTAAATTAGCAAACACATGATCAATATATTAACTTTTAAGTGGATTGTGTATGATCTAGTGGTTATAACGTTCGAGACATTCAATACCAAGATCAAAGGTTAGAAACACCATATGTCGTTAAACACGCCTGCACTTTCAGCTGTGGGGGAATCATAAGTGTGACAGTCAACGCCGTTATTCAGTGAACAGTAGCAATATTGACGGTGAATACCGCTGACTTGTTGCACTCTCTTTATTCAGCAGTTCTAAATTAGGAACGGCCGCTATTAACTCCTATTCACAGTTCCTAACCCTAGTCAGTAGAACTCCTAATTCCTATTTCTTGTTTGTTGGAATCCTTGTCCCTAAATTATTAAATTCTTAATTCTTATTCCTAGCTTTCAGATCACTTAATTTCTCTCCTTGGTATATAGAATGAGATTGGATATTCCAGCATATTATTAAATCCAGGTTAAATGGATTTTAAGCAAAGACATTACTGCTTGCAACAAAAAAGAAAAAAAAGACTTATGTGTTTTACTGAATGGTACTACTCTTCGTATGTAACCAAATATTTCAAAATCAGGCCAAAGATAATTAATCTACTCAGTATATTCACTTTCATTCCTAATATAATGATACGAAATATCATTATATTTCACCTTTTCATAGCTAGTGTATAATTGTATTTGTTACTTTCATACTTTTATCAAGTCATCCTTACTACAAAAAGTGGAACAGAGATTTAAACAACTTAATATGAGTTTGTGATTTATCTATCTTAAGATCCCCACCCCCACCCTCAGTGGCTCAATGATAAGTCTACGGGCTTATAACACTAAAAATCGGGTTTCGATATCCGAGGTGACCACAGCACAGATGGCTCATTGCAAAGATTTGCACCAAAACAAACAAAGAAACAAACTTTTGATTACTTTCTTCATCTGGTATTAACTTATATAGATCCTGCTCTTTACCCCATCAATCAGCTAGTAAGTTAGAGTTTTACCGCTTACTCTCACGTTATGTTGAATAAATAAAGATTCTGTTTCATTTCTACACTTGTGTTCATTAGTATTATCCAAGGACAATACACATTCATCATTTCTTTCTAAATCCACAAATATTTCTCTCAGAAATATAACTGTCTTGTCAAACTTCAAACAAGTTAACTCTGTTAATCTTACTCGTAACCTGTATTAAGGATGATAATGAGAACGAATACCCCCAGTAATAGTGTTTCTATTAATCCAACACAAGAATAAGTATATATTTAATACAACATCAGAATTGATCATTAAATTTGTACTAACGATCATTTCATAGAGCAATGAAATGAATATGCATTTTAATTCATTACCAGAACAAATTTATTTTGTAACTCTAAACCAACAATAGTGGGTTTTTTAATAAAACGCGAACATACGTTCATTTCAGAACTCTAGAACGAAATTAGCGTGTTATTAATCCAACACAAGAGAAAATATACATCTAAGTCCAGCCCCAGAACAGGCTTATTCCATAAAGCTTTGCCAGGACTAGTGTGTTTTTAATTCGTCAGGATGTAGCACTAAATAAATACGTAGCTCTAACCAACATTAGTGAGTTTTAATAAAACGCGAGGATAAATTTATTTCAGGACTGTGAGACAAATTAGTGTTATTAATCCATCACAAGAGAAAGTATACATCTAAATCAAAACCAAGGTCAAGCTTATTCCATAAAACTATGTCAGGACTAGTGTGTTCTTAATCCGTTCGATAATAAACAAATATTGGTCTTAAGCCAAAACTATATATACCATATGACCTATTTATTTGTTACTTTCATTAATAGTACTGGTTATGTAACTTAGTATATCGAATGCCATTATTTTTGCATTTTTATTATTATATTTCATTGTAGAGGATGTTTTGCATTGTTAGCTTAATATATATGCTCAGGACTAACCTAAGTCTCCCAAGCTGGCCGAATCTCGTGAGATGTTATTGGGATTACGGCCGAAAATATCGTTAACGACAAGGGTACTCAACTGATGAAACAATACATTATAATCTTTATAAATAGAAGCATAAGAAAAACATAATTAACTTTACTGATTGCCTAGTTGATCTTTAGTTTTGCTCTAAG